TCAGAGTTAGGTTTAGGTTTAGGTTTAGGTTTAGGTCAGAGTCAGAGTTAGGTTTAAGTTTAGGTTTAGGTCAGAGTCAGAGTTAGGTTTAGGTTAGCATTAGGTATTTAGTTGTGATGGTTACGGTAAGGGTGAGGGAATGCATAACGTCAATTGTGAGTGTCCTCACAACTATAGAGAGACGTGGATGTGTGTGTGTCTAACCCTCTGGATGTTTTTGACGCTCGGTGCTGCTTCGTCTCTCAGCTTCATCATCGCGTTGATGGGAGTGTCACTGAAATATGGCGGCTCTCCATCAACCATCTCCACCACCATGATGCCCAGAGACCAGATGTCCACCTGATAACAGGAAACCGTTTTATTTGCGTTGTGTGAATGTGTGGTCAGAGTGAACTGAGATTCAGGATGTTTTGAGGTCACCTTGGGGCCGTATGGCATTTTAGAGATGACCTCAGGAGCCATCCAGTAAGGAGTCCCCACCAGAGACTTCCTTTTCGGAACCTCTTCACTGATCTGAGCGCAGAAACCAAAGTCTGACAATTTTATCTACAGATGAAGAGGGAGAAGAATAAGAACAGGAAGTGGGGATGCGTGTAAGTACAAGCAGTCAAGATGTCAAGGACAAATCTCCTGATAGACATCACCCTCCCTGACAGGACTGACCTCAGGACACGTGTTCTCTACTTGAAATCTGCCTGACTACCACCTACTTTCAATACAACGAAGGTTTCTACAGGCAGAAACATGGATGTGCCATGGGCTCCCCAGTGTCTCCCATCGTGGCTAACCTCTTCATGGAGGAAGTGGAAAGAAGAGCCCTGACCTCCTTCACAGGAACTGCTCTCAGCCATTGGTAAAGATATGCTGATGACAACTGGGTCAATATTAAAACACAGGCAGTTGAAGCCTTCTCGGAACACATCAATGCAGTGGATAAGAACATTAAGTTCACCTGTGAGGATGTCAGAGGAAACAGTCTGGCCTTTTAGGATTGTGCAGTGTACAATGAAGAAGACAGAACCTTCAACATTGAAGTGTCAAGGAAACACAACACACAATACTTACTCTTTAACTCTCATCATCCACTAGAACACAAGCTGGGGTTCATCAGAACCGCACACCACCCAGCACAAAACTGAGCCACAAGTACCAGGGAATAGTGAGGGAACAAGAACACATCAAGGAAGCTCTTAAAACACAAACCTCGAAAAGAAACAAAACTCATGGAGAAGAGGAAACAACAAATGGAACAACACCCTTATGCTGCTGGAGTCTATGAAAAACTCGGAAACATCTTCCACAAACACCACCTGTACATTTTCATCCCAACAGCACACTACGACAAAAAGGACAAAACACCCAGACACAAACAGAACAACGTGGTTTATGCAGTCCAATGCAACAATGATGCTCAGAACTATACATCAGGGAACCTAATCAACCACTCCATAAACAGATGGCACAGGAGAGCCAGTTCCTAAGGCCAGGACTCAGCAGTTCACTTCCACCTCAAGGACAAGAGAAATTCTTTTTATTTTGTCCAGAGAAGACAGGTGGTTCGAAAAAGGAGTGAAAGAAACATCTTTGTTAAGCTGGAGAAACCATCACTAAACAGGGGAGGTGGTTTAAGAGGCAGTCCTCAGTTCTCTTCCCAGTCAGCTCAAAACCAGTGACCCTGAAGACCTTACAGATGTGTCTGACGTGCATGTGTCCTGTCGTCATCACCTACGTGGGCTGCGTCTACCTGTACTTGACACCGATTGGTTTGTAGACGGCATCTGATGTTGGCGAGTTGTCAGTTGGGGGGGTAGTAGTGTTTCTGTTTAAATGAAGCGCTTCATCTGGTTGCCATGGTAATATCATGATGGTATAATAAGCAGCATCAGCACCTTCACGTGCAGTACTCCACAGTACTACAGTACTCCACAGTACTTCACACTAGTTCAAATGCACCTAATGAACGTCCTAGTGGTTCAAACATTATACTGTCGGAGGTGAAGACTGCAGGTGCTTCCTCTTCTTCTTCTTCCTCTTCCTCTTCTTCTTCTTCTTCTTCTTCTATGGTTTAATGTGTCTCTACTTCCTGTGATTGTTCCAAAAGTCCAAACTATCCAACAAAGTGTTTTCACAGTAAACCAACAGAACCATGGTTCAGTTTGACCCAGACCCAGAACACCTCTTCTGGTGTGAGAAACCTTTCACACCTGAAGTTTAGGTTCAGACTAAGAGTCTGAAACAAACAAGGTCTTGAGTAACTTATAACTTGAGGTACTTGTTATTTACTGGAGTATTTTGTGTTGAATCCTTGCAGGTAAAATTAGAAAAAAAAACAGTCATTATCATGTTCATGAGGTGACCGTCTGCCGACCTAACCCCTAGAACTATCAGACTTTATATCATAGTTAACGAACCATTACTACAATAATTTACTCCATCACTGTGTGTCTGTGTGTGTGTGTGTTACCCTCCCGTCCAGTGTCAGCAGGATGGAGTCGCTCTTCACGTCTCTGTGAATGACCCCCTGTGAGTGAAGGTATGTTAACGCCTGCAGAACGCCCTCACTCACTGTCGCTATCTGCTCCTCGTTCAACCTGAAACACAAACTCAGTTGAGACCCGAGAAAATCCACGAAGAAAACAGGCCTGTATGACTTTTCAGCACACCTGCTTTCACTGATGATGTGGGTGAGAGCGCCACCCTGCAGGTACTCCATGATTACCCAGAGTTCCTCCTGCACCAGAGCACTGCGGTACATCTGAACCATGTTCTGGTGCTGGTAGTCCCTCATGATCACCACCTGAAACAGCAGGACTGAACTGATGATGTCACAGTGCGGCAGGAAACAGGTGATGCTTTGATTCCCTTGAATATGGCTTGTAAGACATAGCTTCATCTCCCTGACCTCTGATCTTCTTCTACCTGAGTGTCGACACCTGTGAATAACTGCCTGACAGACTGACTGCCGGGCTCTACAGTCCTACAGTCGTTCAAACTTTAAGGGGAAGAGGAAACACAAAGCTCTGCCCCCTCCCCCCCACCCGTACCTCATTAAAAAGCAGCTCTCTCCGCTGCTGCTTCCTCACGTCCATCATCTTCACAGCCACCTGCTGCCCGCTCAGTCTCTCTTGGGCGATGCAGACAACGCCTGTTGACCCTTCCCCAATCTTAACAAAGTTGTCCAGGGTAGTCCTCGGGTCACCCGGGTCCACTACCATCTGCAGCGCCACCTTAAACTGCTCATGGCTCACATTCTCCCGACGTCCATCAAGTTCTGTCTGCTGGGAGGAGGGGGGGCAGAGTTGGGTGGGGAGGTGGGCTGGTGACCCAGTGGGGAAATTGCGAGACTGGCTCTGGGGCATTAGTGTCACGTTAAAACTGGCAGAGGGATGGAGCGAGCGCTGAGGTAAACCTCGCCCTGTGATGAAGGGACTGCTGGTTCTATTTGGAGGAGGCAGCAGGAGGGGAAGGGGAGGGGAGGTCAGCTGGAGAGACAACAGAAAAACATGAGTACATTTTATTGTCCAAATTTTTTGATTAATTATATTCGGTGACTAATTATTTTGATCTTATTTACAGGCTTGATCACATCATTAGAAACTGGATATTAGGGTTATGTTGGTGTTATTGTATATTTTTAAAAAGGTGGATTTGTCCAAAGCTGATAAAATCAAACTCAGCCATCCAGTTTGTTAGTGTTTTACAGGCGCCATGTGCCGGATGGTTTTCACAGACATGTTTCCAGTCTTTATGCTAAGCTAAGCTAACTAGCTGCTGGTTGTAGCTTCATATTTACCATACAGATATAAGAGTAGTGTCACTGTGAATCAGATCTAACTTACTTTGAGGTCGTGGGAGGAGCGTGGCCTTCTGGGAGCTTCTTTGGCAGATGACAGCAGGTTAGGCAGGTGATTGACAGCTGCTCTCATTCTTAGACTGTCATTACAGGAAGTCAACCCCGCCCCCTCACTGTGGGCTGACCATACCCCTGTCCTCTGGGGCGTGGCCTCAGACCACACCTGGCAGGTAGACTTGCCTCTCTGAGGAGCTCCGTTCAGTTTGGGGCTGCCAGCCTTGCTGCAGACCCGGTCCTGCCAGTAGGTGGAGCTGCTGTCACGCTTCCCAACATCTCCATGGCAACTGAGCTCCTCGCACTGGGAGGACTCCAACAGTCCACCCAGTGACCAGGCTCGTTTCCGTGCCAACAGGCTTCTGCAACTCAGGGAGTTGGAGCTTGAGACGGAGAGATGGCTCATCTGAGAGATCACATGACTGATATAATCGCCATGGCCAACGAAACTGCCACGAACAATCGTCTGCAGGAGAAAAGTTCAGATTCACACAGATGTGACATGAATTTACAGCCATAAAAGAGAACTACAGTTAACGATAGATGTAACACCATCATGTGTGGGTAGACCAGGAGTCGTTTCCAGGGTTACCAGAGACTGACTGGTAACTCCCCCAACCCATGACATTTCAACTCACGTGATGTTTACCCCAGATCATCGCCCTAGAGACAAGAATTCACATTTTTACATTAAATTTTTCTGAGGGGCCACAGTTTGGTATGTGGTAAGAATGCTGATGTCATGTTTGACTGTTGCTGTTTGTTCTACTGTGACATCATCACAGTCTGGACCCCGAGGCTCTGGTGGAAATCCGGTCTTGACCTTCTATGTAAAGTGCCTTGAGATAATTGTTAGGACCTGGTCTCTGTGAACCATGGCTGGGCCTACATGTGTAGTCATAAGCCTGGCCGCATGTCTCCTTTGCTCTGGAGACAAAGAAGAGCTTCCAGAACTCAGTCTCCCAGGTGCTTCATCTTCACACACAGGTGGTAAAACTGCTCCTGGAGACAACTCTCAACCACTATTGGTCACTGTGTGYCCCATGACCCATGAGGTCACCAGGCCGATATAAGCAGAGTTTCCCCTCTTCTCTCTTTGCTCTTCTCTCTTCCTCCTCTTCCCCTGCYGACCTCTCCTGGAGGAGTAGGTTCTGCTCCTGCTCTCCCAGCCAGGGAGACTTCCTCCCTCCACAAGCTCCTCAACTTCCAGCAGGCCTGCCTGGAGCAGWCTGCTAAAACCTTCCAAAGGCAGCGACACGAGAGCCTGCCTAAGAACTTCAGCACAACTGGCCACGACACAAGGTCTGACCAGCAGATGCACAACAGGAGCCACAAACCAACAAGACCACGTCACTGGACTTTGAACAACACATCCAAAAATGACCTTTCCCCCTTTTTCATTGACGGGTAACACAACTGGGCTTTATTATTCCCCTAGGCTAAGCAAAGGACTGTTTAATCCTATTTCATGTGATGTTTATAAGTTTGACTTGTGTTGTTGTGATATTTGGTAATATGTTATTTGAAAGTTAATGTTAGTTCTGTTATGCTGATAACTTTCTTTGCATGCATCTAACTACTTTCTTTAACCTGGCACCCCCCATCCCCCGCCCTCTGACCTTCTTGGGTCCAAGCTCGACCTCAGTGATCTTAGAAGGGTCCACCAGGGGGCGTGGCCTCCTCAGCGTGTCAATGACGCTCTGCCACTGTGGCGGCAGACCCACATAACGTCCCGTGGTGGCATTGAATGATGTGTGCACGTGATGTTTAACATCTTGTGGCGCCGAGATTTCTGGCCTGCGCTTCTTCTTCCTGCGACTGAACATCTCCATGGCAACACAGTGACAACAGGGGAGTGATGAGACCTGAGGGAAACAACAACATGACTGCTGCTGATCGGAAAATCAATGAAGGATGGAGTCACACACACAGACACACAAACACAGACATATAGACACACACTCAGACACACAAACACAGACATATAGACACACACTCAGACACACAAACACAGACATATAGACACACACTCAGACACAGCATGATCACAACATTGACAACATTAACACAACATTAAATAATAATGAATCATCTAAATATTACTCCAGTGATTGTCCTCACTAAGATGGAAGTACGAGATTGAGTGAATGTGTTCAGGGTGTGACTAACATACCTGAGGAATCAAACACAAGACATGACCAGACAACTGCACTGATTCACACTCACTCAGAGTGAGTCACCTGCAAGAGGAGAACAGAGGAGAACATGGAAAACAAAGAACAGAACAAGGAAAACAAAAGACAGAACATAGAGACCAAGGGAGAACATGGAGAACATGAAGAACAGGAGAACTTGGAAATCAAAGAAGAGGACATGGAGAACAGAGGAGGACATGGAAAACACTGTACAGAACATGGATACCAAAGGAGAAGATGGAGAACATTGAAATCAAGGAACAGAACAAGGGAAACAAAGAACAGAACATGGAGACCAATGGAGAACACGAAGAACATGGAAAACGAAGAACAGAACATGGAGACCAAGGGGAGAACATCACAATCAAAGAACAGAACATGGAGTACAGAGGAGAACATGAAGAAAGTTGAGAACAGAGGCACCAGGGAAGATAACAGTAAAGATGTTTAGAACCAGACCATCACTGAGTCCAGGTGAGTTGGTTCTGTTGCTTCCTTCTGTTGCTCTTACTCTGTCTCTCTCTCTCCACCTCGCTCGTCCCTGTCTCACTGTGTTTCAGGTATGAAGGAAAAAGAAGATGGAGGGGGCTGGGTTTAGTTTAACTGACAGTTTGTTTCTCCTCCTAAACACACACATTTGTACTTCTATCTTAGTGAGGACATTCATTGGCATAATGCATTCCCCAGCCCCTTACCCTAACCATCCAAACTAAATCCCTCACTCTTAACCTAACCTGAACCTGATTCTAACCCTAAAACCAAGTCTTAACCCCCAAACAGTCCATTAAAGGGGGGGTCACAAAGTGAGGATCGGCCAAAATGTCCTCACTCTATCGGTTAAAGTCTAAAACTGGTCCTCACAAAGATAGCTGTACAAGAACATGCACACACACACAGCGCTCTCTCTCTCTCTCTACAGGCCTCAGCAGGCCTCACTCGCCCCTCAGGCAGAAATGACTAAACTTGGAACACGTTCAGTTTATTAAAGGTTTAACATGTAACCCAGGTTGTTTCTATAGAAACAGGCGTGACCACACCAGTTACAGACACATGATGACTACAAAGACAAAGTTTAATTCAGTTAATTAAAACACGATTCTTAGTATTTTAGACTTCATAAATGTCCTCTGATATCCTCCTCAGAGGCACGTTCATGTACGCACACTCTCGCTCAAGGGCACGTGCGTTCGTGTGGCTACATCCACTAGCTTCACTACTTCTCATAGTGGACTTTTCGGCTTAAAACTGTAAATGACGTCGTTTCCAGTTGAATTTCAATGTGGGGACTTGTGGACACTTGATGACATCACAGGAGCAGATATGGAGTGTTTTTTTGGTTTCATTGCATCTGAAGCTTTTGTCTCCAGTTAATTCAGTTGTGTTGGATTCTGCGCTAACAAAGTTTCCCTGAGACTCCACAAGTGTTTAATGGACTCAAACACTCCACTCCCCCCTCCATCATAGTGCTGAGTAGATAATGACAGGTTCTCCTTCGTATTTTAAAAGGGGGAGGTGAGGGGTATTCAGCTGCAACATACAACTTCATCACTAGATGTCACCAAGTTCTACACAGTGAACCTTTAAACTCTAATGTTCTCAAATTTATATTTTCAGACCAATTTTTTCTCTTAATCTTTTCCAACAGAAAACAGAAAACAAATTCAGTGAAAAAGTTTATTAATTTATTTAAATGTGAAAAATAATGATGAACAGAAAGAACAGATGATGTTTCACTTTAAGAGAACCGACAACTGCTCCGCCACGTCCGACAGGACGGACATTGAACAGCGACCACTGGCGTTCAGTAGCGACCGGAAAAACCTCCTCCAGGTCTTCCACGTCCCCGGAAACATGTTGCTGCAGACAGGAAGTTACATCTGTAAGTTGCTTTGGATAAAAGCGTCAGTTAAATGAAATGTAATGACATCAATCAATAAAATGATAATTTATTATTGATTTAATTAATGATTTAATACCAGTACCAGGACTCGTCTTGGCTGAACTGCTCGACTGTCCAACCGTCATCGTCTTTCACCAGGACCATCCTGCTGTTGGTCAGGAGGAGGTGGACAGTTTCAGCCACGCCCACCAGATCTGCCTGATGGAAGGGGGGAGGGGTTAGTATTATCCAATCCCAGTGAGGTAGGTGGGTGTGTACAGAGAGAACAGGTGTGTTGGACGTGGTACCAGCTGTGGCGGTGACGTTGGCTCCAGGAGACCGACTGTAATGTAAGAGTGAGCTGATGACAGCTGCTGCACCGAGGTGACGTCCTGCTGCACGTCCACGGATGACGACCAGTCCACCGGGAAGACCCGCTCAAGGTTCAGACCTCTGGACCAACAACCAACAACCAATCAACAGCTTCAGAGTCATATGAACCCCCCCTCTCCTGTGAGCTGACGTACCGATAAGTAGCGAAGAGGATGCTAGGCCGCAGCGCCGCATGAAGCAAGCGGCAGGAGTGAAGCTCCAACACCAACTGCAGCAGGAGGAGAGATTTGCGAACAGCCGAGTCCTCACACTCCGTCAGCTCCTGACACACACACACGCACACGCACGTCAGGTCCTCAGTTTGTGTCTCATGGCATGTCGTGGACAGGAAGTAACTCACGGTGAACATGTGGTCAGGTGGACAGGTGTAGACGGTGATGCAGCCATCCAGAAACAGGAAACAGCTGATAAGAGGGAGACTGTTGACAGATGAGTTTTTCTTCAGGCGACAAAACTGATGAAAATCCCACGGAATACGACAACGGTCCACCTACAGCACAGGCGACATTACCCATGAGCCTCAGCTGCTGATGAATCACTGATTACACCTGTCACCATGGTTACTGAATGAATCTCAGAATTGAAATGTCGTGTGAATTCAAACCTTAACAAGAACGTTGTCATCATATGTGGCTCCTTTATAAATGGAGAACATTTCTTCATCTAAGACTCTTGAGTAGATGTGATACACGTCGCCTCCTGGTGGACAGAACACACACACCAGGATCAGTCATTTAACAGAAGCAGCAAAGAGAACAGTGTCAAAGAGAAAAGACCCGGGGAGATGTAAATCTGAGGAGAACATCTCCATACGGAGGAGAACCATCTTATTTTACTCTTGTTAGGGCGTGTGCATTCTTACCCAGCTGCAAAAAGCTGCTTACAGGAGGGAGGGATCGAGACTCGCAATGAAAACCAGGAGAGGAAGTGACATCACAGACGTCCAACAGCCGCTGCCGGACCTCTGGATCACAGGGATCCACCCCCCCCCCTGCTGGTCCTGAAACATAGCACGGCTTAATTAATGTTATTATACATTAGATCAATAGAGAATCATTGTGAGACTAATAGGATTTTCTTATCTCTTCTTTTCTTAACAGTTGCAGCTCATTTCTGTTTAGCTCATTATAACGTACCAGGTTCAATCTCCTCCTGCTGCTTCTGGTCCTGGCTCTGGTCTTGGTTCTGGTTCTTGTCCTGCCTCTGGTCTTCCAGTAGATTCCAGGTTCCAGCTTCCACAGTGGTCTCATGTATGGGACTCAAATTGTTTGTGGTATAGGAGCCTGGTTCGTGAGGGCTGGAGGAGGGATGGGGGTCCACCAGAGTCTTGAGGTCTCCGGTCGTTCCTCCGGGACAATCTGAAAGGCCCAAGATGAACAAATGATGAACACATGACTGGTTTAAATACAACTGTTTTCATATTGACTAATAATAATATAATAATATTATAATCATGACGCATGAGACATTGTTCCCTCAGATTCAGTCCTGGTCTCACTCACCTGGTCTTGGGAACTGGATCTTCAGACTCAGTCCTGTGTCGTCAGGTTGGAGGGAGACGTCGTAGAGCAGGTCAAAGTTTCTGTTTGATGAAACACGTGATGAGTTTGGTCACAGCTAAAACACATAAACACACGTGTGAACCATGTGTTTATTACCCAGCAGGCCGTGCAGCAGTGGACTGTGACTCATCGTATATCTGGAAGGAGGAAACAGCTGGTCGACAAGAATCTGACGTCTGAGAGGAGGCTTCATGAAGCACCTGCTGAGACCATCAATAACTAGTGATCAGTGTGATATGAACCACCGAAAATAACATAAATCATCTTTTTGTGCATCTTTATTTATTGTGTATGAGTTGTTTCTCCTCTGAACCTACAATAGTATTATATTCCCTAATAATAATGATGATCATTATTATTGTTATTATTATTAGCTGTATTAGTATGAGTAGTACTTGTTGTGATGTTCTCAGCAGTAAAAGTTTCTTCTTCTCCTCGAGCTCATGACTCAGCAGTTCCTTCATCTCCGTCAGACTTTTCAGTCTCTCTGCAGAATACACACAATCAGAATGGCCAGCCAACACGCCAGCCAACACGCCAGCCAACACGCCAGCCAACGTACCCTCCACGTTCCTCTGTCTCTGCAGGAAGTAGCGTTCGGCTCGCAGCTCCTCCAAACTCAGCTCCTCTCGTCCTCTTGTCAGCAAATCTTTACAGTACTCACTGACCTGTCTGGCCCCGCCCTTCTCCTCAGGCCCCGCCCCACTCTGAGCACTCCTGCAGGCAATTAGATGACACGTCGAAGAGTCACTTTCAAATGAATTCAACACATGACACGTCTGAACATAAACCAATGATGTCCTGCG